TTTGGTGGCCAAACATGAAAAGAGAGATAGCTGAGTTCGTATTTCAGTGTCTGTGTTGTCAGCAAGTGAAGGCAGAACACCAGAGACCGGCAGGACCTCTTCAACCCTTGTCAATTCCTGAGTGGAAATGGGAACACATCTCCATGGATTTCGTAGTAGGTTTGCCGAGGACGCTGAAAGGTATGAACTCGATTTGGGTTGTAGTTGATAGATTTACTAAGTCAGCACACTTTTTACCTGTCAAGACTACGTTTAATGCCGACCGACTTGCCGAACTGTACATGAATGAGATTGTTAGGCTTCATGGCGTGCCGATGTCCATTGTGTCAGACCGAGATCCGAAGTTCGTTTCTAGATTTTGGCAGAGTCTACAGGGAGCCTTGGGAACCGATTTGAAATTTAGCACAGACTTTCACCCCCAGACCGACGGGCAAACGGAAAGAACGATCCAGACACTCGAAGACATGCTCAGACTGTGCGTGTTGGATTTCCAAGGAAGTTGGGAATCGCATTTTCCATTAGTGGAGTTCGCGTACAACAACAGTTATCAAGCCAGCATAGGCATGGCGCCGTATGAAGCTTTGTATGGAAGGGAATGCAGATCGCCGATATGTTGGACTGAAGTAGGGGACAAAGCTCTAATTGGCCCCGAGTTGGTTCGAACGACAACTGAAAAGATTAAACTCATTCAGCAGAGGATTAAAACCGCACAGAGTCGACAGAAGAGTTATGCCGACCAGAGAAGGAGGAAGTTAGAATTTGAAATTGGGGATCATGTATTTTTAAAGGTCTCGCCGATGACAGGAGTTTCGAGATTTGGGAAGAAGGGCAAACTTGCACCCCGATACATTGGACCATTTGAAATTCTTGAGAGAGTTAACACCGTTGCTTACAGACTTGCTTTGCCGCCAGATTTGAGCCAAGTCCACAGCGTGTTCCATGTTTCGATGTTGAGGAAATATATCCGAGACCCACTGCATGTGATAGATTATTTCGGGGTTGTAATTAATGAAGATCTAGGCTACGAAGAGAAACCAATGAGAATTATGGACAGACAAGTGAGACGGTTGAGAAACAAGTCGATACCGATGGTAAAAATCGAATGGGCGAAGCATTATGGCAAGGAAGCCACATGGGAAAAGGAAGAGGAAATGAAAATCCGTTATCCGGAGTTATTCGTAGGGCAAGGTAACTTGAGTTTGGGGACCAAACTTCTTTAAGGAGGGTAGACTGTAGGAACCCACATTTTACGTCTTAATCATGTTCATGGGCATCTGTATGATTATGGCTTGTTAAGCTTGCATGTGTATGTTTGTGACTTGTTCTGCTTAAGTGAGTGAGATCCATGTCTTGTTTTGATGCCTTTGTGATTTGCCTAAGTTATGATTAGCCGATGTTATGCCAAGCCTAGGTTACGTTACGCCTAGACCATTCCGAGCCGAGGTCATCCTCAGCCTAGAAGTATCTTGGAACCCCTTTCGTTGACCACCATCCTGCTTTGACGCATTGGCCGAGATGTTACCTTTGCACCCAAGTGATCTCGTCCTGGAGTGGTATGACCTAGACCGAGGTGTGGCACATCTAGGCCAAGATGTGGCACAGCTTAGTCAAGTGTTGTCCTTTCTAGCCGAGGTCATTGTCACCTTAGTTGCCGAAGCCCTTTTGTTAGCCAATGTCACCCCTTGCCGGAGTGCCATTCTGTGTAGCTCGTTAGATACGCCTTGTTATTAGCTGATGTCATTGCCTCATCAGAGAGCCCATACCGCTTTACTTGTTGAACACACTTTTGCCATGCCTTGTCTGGTCTGTCAGCCACCTTTTCAGGGAAAACCCAACCAGTCGCCGCCACGTGTCTCAGCAGAGGGTTAACCCCAGAACCGGGTAAAGAAAACTATCATTTGGTATCATAACCTTGCCTTGTAGAGAGAGAAACTCTAGGAGGAAGAAGGAGTTTTAGAGTGAGAGAGAAGGCTCTCTCTTATAGAGCTTCTTGTCTTGTAAAGCTTACAAGACAAGCTTCCAAAGAGGGAGATCCCTCCATAAAAGCATGACAGCTGTGATAAAATATCTGCAAAGGCAGATGCACAGTAGTCGGCCGGCCAAAAATGCCATTTTGGCAAAAAGGAGTGCCGACCGGCAACAAAAAGTGCCGACC